AAGTTAATTTCAGACACGATTATAGATAAGCATTCATGAGAAACATCCTCAACAGTGGCTTAACCTTTCTTTCCCCTCTTTTCACAGAAATATGGATCAACTCAATTTACTGTGGAAGTGCGCTTGGGATGGTCCCTGAGGAGGCCGAGTGTCCACAAGAACAAGACGCACTGCATCGCCTTTAGGTCCTGCGTTCTTAACGCCCGGTCCTCCCAGACCGACAGACAGACACGGCCTTAACGTCCTAAAACTTGGGGAAAATCAGGCCACAGATCGGCGCCAAAGGATTAAAGGAAGACAGGTCTCCTGACAGCGTGGGAATCCAACCTTCTGTGCATTTGCCCATGATAAACAAACAAAAAAACTTAAGTGAATTCATGCTCTTCAGCAGCACATAAAAAAAATCATTATTTAATACGTCGCTCTTCAACTATGCTAAATCCAATCACAGAACACCAACCCTTAGGTTAACAGGTCTCAGACGTTTTAATTCCGAACATGCTTCCAAGTCGCGGATTATTCTATGAAATTCTATATCAAACGTTTTTTGAAATATATTATGATATTTTTGTATGTAAGAGATTTATAGATGTTTTGTACACATCCTTTTGTATATATTTTGTCTATATATTGCGAAGTTGCTTCTATACCTCCTGCCTATGTAGACGTGTAGTCTATTACTCTCTGGCTCTTCTGTTCATGAGGTTTCCAGAAGGAGTTTGACACTCCGACGTTGTATTCTAGCACCAATGTGTCTTATTTAATAGCAAACCATGTTATTGCATTGTCATGAAGTTCACAATGATCAAAACTTATGCAGCTATTGTCCAAACAGAGCGCAATGGCCATGCATTGTCTCTTTATACTGCCAGCTCTATATTGTCTTCACATAAACAGATGTCGAAAAAGAGAAGTCTTATAACCATATTTTCTACACTCTAGTTCAAGAATAAAATGATTTGCTACTGAATTATTTTCCATGTCTTATTTCCTGGGTGTATTTAGAGGAGGGAAGGAACTTGTGGTTCGGTTTCCAACATGTGGTTTTAGCAAATTGGAGGGGAAAGCGAGAGGGAATGATGGGCATAGAAAATAATAAGAGTGCTACTGCACCATGGGGACAAAAAGGAAAAAAGAAACCCCTCTTTTATGCACATTTTACACACGATATACTCATTCAAAATTCAGAACGTAGCGGCTAATTAACGCCTTCAGTCACAGACCCCTCAGCCAAGTCAGTGATGTCCAACTCTTTCCAATCTCTTGTAATATTGGACAGCATCTGCAACAGGATTTTAATCCATTTTGCGCAAGCCAAAAAGTAAAACTAGTGTCACAAGTGCTTAAAATTGAAGCCTTCTCTGTTTATTTCAAAGCCAGCACAATTAAAATGTCCTACTAAACCAACAGCTGGAACACACAAGCACTGATGTTTACTTCTCTTAAGAAATAATTCTTAAAGAAAACAACAAACATACTGATCATTTTAAGAAAACTAATTTATTCTTTCTGTTAAGTTAAAACTCCCTGCCATAGTTTGGACTGTGAGTCTTGAATAGAGACTGATGCAGCTTTAAACGGCGCGTTAGCTGTTTCTTGCACAAAAAATGCAAGTTTCACCATCACCATCTATAATGTTCCAGTTTTTCAGATAAAAGTATTTTTCATCCAAATTTCCCAAATCAAGTGAAACTTTATGACAGTTGTCATTTAAATGAGCAGATGGAACGGAATTTTAGTGGGTGATTACACTTTGGCGACCACCAATAGATTTTGAGGTAGAGCTTGTGTTTCTGCAAAACTAAGTTTGACAGGTAGAGCAGAGGCTGCAGCCTGGCGCGTGTCTGGTTTAATGAGTGAATGGGGTTTGTAGGGTGGTCGAGTGGGGACACAGAGCTGAATTGGCTGATGGCGTGTGCCTCCTGACAGCAGCATGCCGCTGAACACACAACAATCACCACCTGGGATGGAAAAAAAAAACGTGTGCGCGTCTGAAGCGAAGCAACTTTGGCTGCTCTTGTTTTTTAAGTCTTTCTTCCGCAATAGTAACTAATAACTCACAGAAAAAACGCACACATTTGACTCAGATTTAACAGAAAGAATTAAATATTTGATTCACAAAGAGAAACAAGCTGCAAAACCGCGTGGTGTGTTGAAGGTCAATTTGCGCCACATCAGTTGCTTCAAAGTTGGGTCCATGGGCCACCAGGGGGCCACGAGATGGGTGAAGAGGTAAAAATGAACCAGGCTGCAACTTTACTGTTACTCACAAGAAAGAAGTAAGAAAAAAATAGTAGATGTAATATTTATTTTATTTTCATCGTTATTATCTCCTCAGTCATATAATAATACGGCAACACACATCATTACAGGGTGTTTGAGTCTGAGACGTGTTCACAAATGTCATGTCTGATTTGACAAAAGTTTATTATTATGTTTTAGTATGATGGGTTCGAAAAGTCTTATTAATCAAAGTTTGCTATTGTTCAAACTGTTCTCAAAACCTATGGGAGTGAAAGTTAAAAAAAAAAAAAAGACGTCACATGTGAGTCAGTTTGACATGTAAACACTTTAGTATTTGACTAAAGGTAATGCATACATGTGATAAAAACATACTCTACAACATTCATCTGTTTTGTTGTTAAAAATACATCAAGATAGATTTATGTTTGCATCCAGATGCCTATACAACATGTAGAAACATTTTTACTCCAATTGTGCAGGAAAGCCTGATGTTGCTGACACACTTTGAACAGGAATTATAGTCTAAACTGAGGCTGCTGGTTTTGGGGCAGCCCAGGAGAGACTTTATGGAGGGGATTCTTCCTCCCGATCAGTGTTCAAGACACTTCAGAGTACAAACTGTAACTGTTATCTTTGCTTCCCACAGCAACACAGCAATTCAATTTGCAATCCAATTACAGCTACAACATTTTGTAGCAGTGAAGAAATTGTTCAAATAAATAGACTACATAGTTTGTTCTCAGGACCCAAAACAAAACAATTTGGATAATGTTCAAGACTTTGGAGAGTTAAACCTTTTCAGAGCTGCTACAGTCATTTGTAATCTGTAAAAAAAACATCAGGTAAGTCATCCTCAAGGAATTACAGAGACAAATCACTTCTTAAACTTTTATAGCGGCAGATTTTAACACAAACAAATTGTCTGTTCAGGTTCTTAAAAGGTCCCAGTAAAATAGGTAAGACACTGAAGCTGAGGAAGAAGAGGAGGATACTGAAGACAAGTACTATATTAATCTTTATTTGACATCAAAGTAAATTCAAAGTGTTCTTTTCAACGGCAGAAGTGAAAATTTATATCTGAAGAGTATTTTTAACAGCATTAAACATTAGGTTGTAGAAGGACAGTCTCTAGCCTTTTTGGAGGTTTTACATGATGACATATGCTTCTTACAAGACGTCCATGATCTAACAATCCTGGTTTGCTGCCTGTCAGAGCTCATTACGTTTGCCTCTATGGCGGTCTGTCAAGCGTGTATGAACCGCAGGAGAGCGTGGCCATATCTAATTGGCAAAGCTGAGGCAAAACAATGGCTCAAACTATATTAGTTGAATATCTTATTGAATATCATTAATCAGTGTTGATTAAGTTGGATAGAAGATGACAACAATCTGAGCCACTACCTTTGCTTAAAAATTGTTTTTATGCTCCAGAACAACAAGCAGTTGCTGCATCAGAAGTTTACATGAACCCCGCCCCGAAGCAACGTGCTGGAGAAAGTGTGTAGAATGAGTTTGAGAGTTTTTATCTAATGCAACCAATATGATAGTTGTGTGGTGAATTAAAAGCTTTTTCAAACTGCAGTACAAGTAAAATAAATGATCTCCATCTACAGCAGCTGAACATTTCAGGACCATAGACAGCACTTTACAGCTCTAAGAAATGTAAATGACAGAAACCATAGAGGCCCATTTAATATTGCCTTGTCTTGTATGGGTTTCTCTACATATCGCTTAATTATCCTATTAATGATCAAAATATCAAGGATTCTACAGAAGTCATTACTAAGAGTGAAATGAAGTCCTAAACTAGAGCACAACAAGTAATCTGTATGTTTCATAAATCTCAGTTTGAAAGGAAGAGATTATATGAAGGGAAATAATTTGGGGCCATAGTGCTGCCCATGGCCGTCTCTTTATCTGGACATAAAAGTCATCTTTGTAGATAAAATAATAATTTTTTTCAAGGCTTTCAAGGCTAATATTATTTAATACAATCAATATTTGGTGGTGCATTTGAATGCAAATCCTAGCTTGGCAGTGGTTACTAGCCACATCAGGCTTAACACAAGAGCAAAAGTGCAAGGAAAGTATTGAACTTTGTTTTTGTCTGTTCTAAGGTACACCGCTAATGTTAGCATGCCTGGCTAACTAACTACAGTAATGACATAGCACTATTTCCAAAGGTAACGCTATATGTCACAAGCTGACTATATTATTTTGTGAGAAATAGGTTATGTTAGTACCTGGAACATCCACCTTGCCCTCCAAGATGGCAACAGTGCAGATCAGCGAGTCATGCAGATTCATACTGCAATGTCAGCAGAATGAGAAGAACAGGAAAAATATATTTATTTCGGCCTAGGAGTATTATTATATTATTCCAAAATGGTTAGCCCCATTGCTAACCTTGTAGTTGCACCAGATAAAAAAGCCTAAATTAGCTTCTTTTGTTGTGTATTTGTACTGGTTCATCACCAAGCAAAGCCAGATAAAAACAGTGTGTAGCTCCTTTATATTAGCTGAATCAATTGTATTAGTCTTAATATTAGTTATTTTCATCACAAGTAGGAGATCGTCGTTGTCAGAAATTCTCAATATCTCTGACTTCAAATTATGAGTTGTAATAACGTTATCTTTACTATTCTGCTTCCCACTTGGCTGCCCATAATTATGATTTAAACAATATGATGTGAATGCGGCATTACTTCGCCCCTTTAAGTGTGTGCTGATTGTGGCGATCACATTGGAATGAGTTGCAAATGGTAAAAAAAAAACAAAGGCTAAATTTTGATAATGAGAGATTACTAACTTTTCTCAAGGGTGAAAAATGACTACAGTGCTGACTTCACTTCCTTTAATCTAAACTTTCCTGTTTTACGACTGTCACTGTTTCACACAAGACTACAGGACTGATAATTGTAGTGGCAGTAATGCTGAAACCTGAGCCACACCGGGCAGACAGAGCGGTGACTGAGGTCAGAGGTTGCTGGAGTCATCAAGAGGGTTGGAGATGACCGACTTGTGAATAAGCATGAACAGGGGCAGGTATGCCAGGAAGTCCAGCAGGTCCAGGGGGGGAATGTGTTGCAGCTCCAGTCTGATGGCCGCCTCCTGCTCCAGAAGGATTCCCCCGGCTTTCAGCTCCAGAAGCAGCTGCTCTGCGCTGATGAAGCCCTGCTGCGCTCCAGCTTCTCCTCGCTGCTCCTCCAGGAGGAACAGGAATAGTTGCTACATGAGTCATAATAATAAATAAAATTAGAAAACATGGAAAACTGGTGTTGGACTCTGAGCACAGTTGTGAGTGTGTGAATGCATGCTGATATGTGAGAATGAGTGTGTTATTGTGTGTGCCCCTCAACGTTGCCTCAGATTACCTCAACCTGTTTCTAGTCTTTTTGAGTGCACCTGTTTGCACGGTTAATGCAGTCAAGGTAATAATTGTTGGGGGGGGGGGGGGTTAATCCTTCTGGCAATTAGCCAATTCCCCCACCAACCTCTCCTGTTAACAACCCTATCCCTAACAGCTCTATAATTACAAAGCCTCCCCTACCTGGCCAGGGGCTCAGTTTCCACACCCATGGCCACATGCTTTCATGTTCCTCTTGCCTTTCAGTTTCTCAGTACTTCCTTGTATGAATGAGGGCCGGGCCTGCTTGTGAGCGTCCAGCTGGTAGGCCAGTCCCGGTCCATGTGAGATGAGCCGTGTGTCTCAGGCTGATTAGAGGGCTGGGCGGAGTGGACGGCAAGTTCACTGCTGGGCACTTTAATGAGATTAGGCCCATGCTAATCTATGAAAAGGGAAAAGCACCCCTCTCTTTCTCCCTCTAGCTTGCTTCCCTCATTTCTATGCATGAGGGCTGAGTGTCTCGTGAAAAAAAGAAGCTAGCTTTACAAAGCATGCTTTGGAATTGCTCTTTAAAGTGTTTACCAGTATTTATTTCATTATAATTATGAAGGCGGAGCCATGAAAGAGAGGCGGAGGTGGTGTTTGTGGCATGAATGTGACTAATGTGAGAGTGATGTTGCATGGAGATAATCAAGCGCACCTTGTGAAAACAGAGTATAAACATGTGGTGGAAAATTCTTTACTGCACATATTAGCCAATAAAATCTGGTCAAGCCAAACCTTGACGCTACCTTTGCTTTGAAGAGCCTCACTTCCAACGAGCGGAAATCCATGTCACTGATTAGTGATCGCATAAAGTCACTGGAAGTAAGCAGCAAAATGATCATATTAATGGGAGAAAATTACCTTTGCAAAAGTACAACTGAGCCTAGTATTCAAATAAATACTGCATTGATTTAATAATGCAATTTCATATCAAGTTGTGGGATTTGCAAGAGAGAGATTTAATCAAGAATGGGCAGCAGAGGTCAAGGCCAGATTTATAACAGAAAATCTGCTTTACAAACTGAGGGCGACACTATTATATTGCATTAAAGAACTCAATAGTGTCTATTCTTTCTGATTTTTATTTCTGTAGATAGACTGACTCTTAGTCTCCAGTACAAGCTGGATCCTACACTTCCCATAATACAACTCAATAGCGTCTTTCAATACACCCCCCTGCCTGGTGAATGCACACACCCTGATTTTGCAATGCAGGATTTCTGTTATAGATCTGGTGTCTCCAAGCCAAAAGCAAGATAACCCTGATGACAAAGCTTTCTCCAGAGCCACAGAGGACATTACACAACTGTTTCACAGTAGTAGTACTAAACACGACACGAAGTAAAATGATCTTCTAGTGTCAAATCAGTGCACCGTTAATAAGGCCTACGTTTGTCCAAACACAGTTGTTGTGAATCACAATAAAAATAGTCATATCAATGTAAAATCTGTCCAAAAACAAGAGAGTAGGTAGATCCTTTGGTTACTACCGCAGACGAATTCAGAACAATCTATTTGCGGGTGGCGGGTGATTTTTGGCGGGTCTGTCTCGTGCGATGTTGTGTTTGCAGAGATGTGATGGTAAAGTGTTCTGAGCCCATTGTGGTTGCTCACAGTGGCCTGGCTGCCAAACAATGCATGGGCACACGTGGACATCCCACCACAGTAACGGATAAAACTGCTCTGGTTTGGGGACAGTGGGTGTGTGGGTGTGTGTGGGAGAGCTGGAGCAGGGTGAGCGGGGTTTGTGTAGAGTTTTAGGGAGGGGGAATAAGTGCCCAGGGCACACTCTGGTGCAATGTGACCACTCGCAGAACAACAAAATCTAGGTCCACACGGATAATTAGAGGGAGACACGGCCGATTGTGTTCGGACAGGCCAGTCCAGTCCAGAGTGTGGCACAGCGACGGTCGTCCCTTCTCTAACGAGCGCCCAGTGTTAATGAGCCCCTCCTCGCCATGCGCTCAATGGCCTGTTAGAGCAAAGAATGGCCAAGCGCTAGGCCAACGAGTGCACTGCATGCCTGAGTGCTCCCAGTTCTATGATTGGCCCTTGTCCTCAAACCATGGTGCAAGCAGGGGCTTGATGGGGATGAAGCAAGACAGGGCAGCTAATGATCATTAATTGCACTTGGTTTGCAGTAAAAGAGTCCAAATGCTGGTGCGCTAAGGACACTGGCGTGATAATGGCTAGCGTAAACGAGGGGCTAGGGGACTGGTGATGGACTGCAGGGAGGATAATAGCAGCCTAACCCATTTTCTTTTGTCGGCCCTCCTCTGGCACCCCTGCTGGCTAACACAGCAGACTTCTCGCTTACGTAATGCCCAATAATTTTGGCGGTCTCTTCATTGGGGAGCCGGTATACAGTGAGGCGGGGGGTGAAGGGATGCAAACATATTCTGACCTAGTTTGATTTGACAGAATTGAGACTTGTTTTGGGATGTTTTTGAGCGGGCTGCGGTGACGCTGTGTTGACTGGGTAACTTTCTGGAGGAGGAGGGACTCTTATTGTCTGACAGCTTATGTGGTGGGGAGCTGCTGTCTCATCTTATCTCCAACATTAGCGCTCCTTTGCTTGCTGTGGCTCATTTAGTCCAATGAATTTCCGGGAACGGAGGAGACTTACAGTAACTCTCAGTGTACGCATGCATGCTCACAAATCCAACACAAGCAACAAGGGATGAGAGTGACAATAACAATGACTGAGACGGCTCCACTGATGCCTTTTGGGAATCCTGTATGGCAATGTTCTTCTTGGCAGATCATGTGACTTGCCCTGAGGGAATGTGGCGCTGTGTGAGGTGGACTTGTTTGGGAGCACAATGCTACACAGGGACAGATGGGTTGAGTCAAGGGCCAAAACAGCACGGCACAGAGGGTGAGAGGTAGGCAACAAGAGAGCCAGAGAGATTAGAGAGAAGAGAGGGACGGACAGTTAAAGTTGAAAAGAAAAGAGGAGAGTGAAGGGGAGAAGGGTGCAATTAGTGCGAGTTAAATTTAAAGAAGAAAAATAAATATATATAAAAGTGTTGAAAGCACACCTCCTCAGATTTCAAAGCCTACATGATCAGAAAGGCTGATTGTGTAACTACTGTTGCAGCTCATTTCTAAAATAGGATTAGAGACAACAGGATTAACTGAGACAGGTAAGAGGATCAATTTAGTTCAGTTGGGATGAAATGACAGAAGGATGCTATTGTTTTCTCCTTGTTTAGGAGCTGGCATTATGAGCACCGATCTTTTCTTCTTATTATTTAAATTGCAACAAGGATTTTTGTGAAAAGAGGTTTAATATAGTCATTCATTATCATTACTATAATTGCCTCTATACAGAGCAGACACCCTGGTCCCTCTGTGCCAGTGGGACAGTCAGTCTACAGGCCTCCTCTAATACACAACACAAAGGGTTGGCCATAAATCAGAGGACCCGTGACCCTGGCCCTGTCCTCGCTGAGAAGGAGCTCTCACACCGGGGTGAGGGCCTTGGGAGCAGGCCTTGACCCTCGGAGACCTCCAAAGTAGGCTTGGCTCCATACACTCCTGTCTGTAGGAAGCTATACACCCCAGGGCAGGAAAAAAGCGACGTGTGTGGGAATCTGCAGCACATGGGGCATAATGTAGAGACACAACGACGCTAAGGCCGAGTTCAAATCAGAGCAACGCTTTCTGTCTGCCCAGGGTTTAAAAAGCGGCGGTAACTAAATATTATTTTCATTATCGATTAATGTGCAGATTATTTTATCGTTTCATCGATGCCTATTATAATTTCCCACGGCCCAAGTAAACACCCTCAAACATCTTGTTTTGTTTGACCAACATGTATGGTGGAAAAGAGCATAAATCCTCACATTTGAGAATTTCGGACCAACACATTTTGGGCATTTTTGCTTAAAAATTCTTCTATTGTTCGACAAACCGATTAATGGACTAATTTTTGCATTCCTAGTTCAATCTATGTTTTTATCTCTATTATAAAACAATATGAACTGTAAGCAAATTAATCTAATTTGGAGGGTAAAAATTCATTCTTGACCATGAAAATAGTAGCTAAAAAAACAAAAAACAAAGTGAGATGCAGATGCAAAATTAATCAGCAACAATTTTGATAAGAGATTAAATATTTAAGTTTATTTAAACAAAAATATCAAATATATTATGATTCCACTTTCTCAGATGTGAATGTGAGTTTTCAATCAGCTGCTACATGGTGGTCATTTTTAACTCTTGTTTAACTGTATGCATATTTGGAGATATGGTACTATTTATGTGAGCTGTAGCTAATGAATATTCTCATTATCGAATGATTGTTAGTCTTTAAAATGTTAGAAGATAGCAGAAAATGTCCATCAGAAGTACCCGGAGCCTAAGGTGATGTCTTAACTGCAAAAATCTCTTTCTTATCATTTTTGCCTGTATTTGCGTCTTAAAAGCTTTATTTTCTTCAAGTTAGATTTTTCTTAAATGTTTCTTGTTTAAGATACCTATAAAAATAAGAAAAGCCATTATAAAAGCTCAAGGTGAGATGCTGAAAGCAGAGAATGTTTAGCATTTCTGTTCAATAAATAACTTAATATGCGGTTATCACGTCCAAACACATAACTTTGACTTCTAAAGTCACATAAAATGTTTCACGACAGACAGAGAAGAGGATCAAAGAGAGCCCCACACACGACGACAAAATCACCGGAACAAACTTGCGTACACACTCTTCACTCTCAGTCTTATTTATGGCAGGTCAGGGACTCCTCTTCCCAGCTCACTTACTCCATGGTGGCTACTTTCTGTGCAAGGCTAGCGATCACTGCAAAGAGCCTCAGGTCTACGAGCCCATCTGTCACTCTGAAGTCCACCATCTCCAGGATCTAAAACAAAAAACCAAAAGATTAGATGATCAACCCTGTTGATGTGACAGCAGCGTTGCCAGATTGGTTTTACATCCAATCTGTTGGTCAGTCCACCACTTTGGTTTTAGGTGATCAGGTGAAAATTTTATGTCAGAAAACCTGCAAAACTAATGACATTCCCAACTTTGTGTTTAGTGCTTTTGTTAGCATGCTAACACAGTAAACTCAGATGGTAAACATTATACCTACTAAACATTGCCATTGTGAGGATGTTAGCATGCTGATGTTAGCATTTAGCTCGAGGTACTGCAATGCAGCCTCATGTTATTGACTAGCCGGTAAATTTTTGTTTTGGCCAACATGTATTCATTTGGGCAACGTTTTGTACCATTCAGGAAGCTTCCTCTGAGTAAATTGATCCCTCCCCTCCCCTGATTTGTACGAGCAGTGAGTTTAGTAGGTTTAGCTCAACATCAAATTGAGACTTGCTTCCTTTAAAAAGTATTATTCAGACATATCTTTGTGGTAAATGACTTGTAAAAGCTTCGAAAACGTTTTCCATGATACTTGGTAGAGACCATTTTTCATTATTGTAATCATTACTTTTAATGATGATTGGGTGAATTGGAGGCTCTGATTGGACTATTTTGTGAGCAGTGTGTGTGTGTGTGTGTGTGTGTGTGTGTGTGTGTACGTGAATGGTTGTGTATTTGTATTTGCATGTGTACAGATACAGTAAAAGCCGACCCTGTAGACATAGATCTCCTCTTCCTCAGACAGCAGCTCTGGAGGGATGATGTTTTTAAGAGCAAGTAGAACCTGAAGGCAAGAGATGTAGCCGTCACCATCACTGTCCTCCTGTGAAGAAAGACCACCATCATCATTATTATCTTCATCATCATCATCATCAACATCATGATCATCATCATCCGTTCCCAAACTTTTTGGCTTATGATTCTTTAAAACAAGTCAATATCGTGTCACAGGTAGACATGGACATTGCGTCATTTGAAATATTTTCAAGAGTTAAGAGGCAAAAGAGTCCATAGTATAAACGTAGACAAAAATTAATACAATATTGAAAGTGAAAGTTCATTATTGACCTTAGAAAGAGTAGTTTAAAAAAGGAAAGAAATCTTAATTCAAGATCCAAAGACCATGAGATACAGTTGAAAGCACCAGGAAATGCTAGTGGCAATATGTTTTTCCTTTTATAATGCCCTTAAATTGTCCCCCGGGTGAGTACCACAGATTTAGATCAAACGATTAGTCGATTAGCCAATTAGTTGATTGACAGAAAATGATTCGGCAACAATTAAACAATTTTAAAACACTTGCTTCTCCAGTTTCTTAAACGTAAATATTTTTTTGTCTTCTATGATAGTAAATTGAGAAACCTTTTGTCTGGATTGTTGGTCGAACAAAAAAACTCATTTAAATGTCATGAATTCTGCAAAACTGTGATGGAAATTTCTTTTTACTATTTTCTGACTAGAGAAGAGAGTAAAAAAAATCACCTTACTCTTAATTGGGAGTGCAACATATTACAGTGAGTGAAAGAGAAGATCTCAAATATAAAAGGTTTAAATGCCTTTTCACTTACTGCTTCAAAAGCTCTTTTGTACTCAGCCAGCTTCGCCTGACTGAAAATGCAATACTTTGCCAAAAAGTCGACTGCAAAGAGAAAAGAAGAAGACAAAGACAAACCTTTAGAGCTGGTAGAATGCATATTAACTGGACTTCCTGACTGCATGAGAACAAAAATGTCATTCTAAAAGATGGTTATTTGTTCTGTGTATTACATTTTATACCACATATATCAGTGATTTCCTGCTTGAGTAACAACATTAGGCTTCTGTCTGGGAGCATGTGTGTGTGCAGAGTGGATTAGAGCAATATTTCTCTCCTCTGGTCGCACTAGGGTCATGGAGGCTGGACAATACAGGGCGAGTGGTTCACAGGGAGTCCAGTTGGCCTTGATTGTGTGTGGGGGGCAGAGTGGCACTTGGCTGCTGAATAGATGCTGGAGACACAGCAGCCAAGACCTTGAAATAAACCTCGATATGCTACTTTATTAGAAAAAAGGTATTTACTGTGAGCGCATATCTTGTGGAAAATAATAACAGCATGAATAGTGACTGAGTGAGAAACTGGAAATACACTTGGATTGGTCAAAGTGATAAAAAGGAAAGAGACCAATTCTGACATCTAATCAGAGCTGAAACAATTAATCAATAAGTTGATCAACAGAAAATCAAAAATTTGATAACTGATTTACCATTAAGTCTTTCCTTTTTTTTGCATAAATGCCCCAAATTCTTTCGCAAATGTGAGAACTTGCAGTTTTTATTGTTTTTTAAAAATATATTAAAAAAAAAAATAGTTGCAGTTCTGTCCATCTAATAACACCTTAGCTCAAGTTTGTGCCTTTTTAAATTTGAGACTTTTGCACAGAAACAACTCATAAACATATCTGTAAAATATATCCATAAGTAAAATTGTTTTTTTCCCCACGACTTTTTATGTTCACAATCCTCAAAGACTCCTCTCAAAACACTTTTGATAAAAACAGGACCTTATTGCTTTTACTCAAATCCAATGATCAACGTAAAAGTCTCCAATATTAAAACGATGATTACATGTCGGGGACGAACTGAGACTAAGCACAACCATGAATATTTCAGTAGGCAAATTTGGGAGGGAGAATGACTTGGAAAATGGGGGTAGAAAATGGGGCTTTTAAGCTGCTGCCACTTCAATTTAGGAGATGAGAATGAGTCTACTGAATAATGGATCTATTCATTGGTTTGGAGAAGAAAGAGGAGCAACGAGTTGATATCAGTCTGGACTTAAACCCTTGGACCTCTGGGGTTTCTCCGCAATGGCAGGGGGGCTGTTTGAATCTGCCATTTATCAGCTTAGGCCTAATCAAAACCAGGCCTTCAGTGGCCTCGTCCTTTCACATGCAAAATGTTACATTCGCATCTAGTCAACTTGACTTGTTAAAGCTTGATTGATCAAAAAACCTGTGGGCTGGCTTCACGCATCTGTTTGCAAATATCTGTGATGAGAAGGGGCTGCAGGATGAGAGTCTGGAGTCACACATGGAGCCGCTGCTCAGCCTGCATGGGACCAGGCGGGGATTTAAAAATCCACTCTCTTCAAAAGACACCAACACACGTTCACATGGTGGCTGGATCAGTGCACTGGTCAGTCTGCTCAAGGGAAATGGCAACTTGTGTGAGAGAGTGAATGGATCCACCTTCTCTTTTTCACAACGAGGCAGGCTGAGGTTGAGGTTCTCTGACCATCTGGAGGAGAGTTAGCAGTTGACCTGTGGTCCAGCAACACATATATGAATATATATTTTTTCTAATTACCCATGGTGGTTTATTATACTCTCCACTGACTGGCCACAACCATTCAGGTCTGTGTGTGTGTGGAAAGTCCATCTTTTTCCCACAGGTGGACTCACACACTATGTTTAAATTCAATTTTAAGATACTTCCATTTTATACATCTAATCCACTACATTTCATTCAAGACCAAAACACCACAAGAACGGTTTCATCCCGGCGCAGCTCAACTCATAAACAAGGCCCGGGGCATTTGCTAGTACAGTTCTTAAGTACAAGTTTGAGGTATTTTACTTACTTACAGTGTTTCCATTTGGTGCATTTTGTACTTCTACCCCACTACATTTCATACGGTATTCCATTACCTCTGAGTTTTGAAACGTTCCCCATTCTTTGTTTGTCACCCACTGTAGTGATTATTAAATTCTTTGTTTTTGAAGTCAAGAAACACTTAACTTGTATAGACATTGTATGTATGGGTCATTGTTGCTTTTCTATGTATATTTATATATCCACATATTTTTTCACTAACTTGAACCTTGTATGTAAGCTTATGCCTAATTCTGTCTTCCTGAGAATTGTTCTGAGAACTGTACATTGAGATAAACTGATTCTGATGCTAATGCTTTCTCAAAGTTATGCTCAATTTAGTTGGTTTTATTAATTGTTATTTTGTGGTTTATTGTAAAGGGGGTTTGGCGGGATCTCAAATCAGTGTACTGGAAAACAATCACAAAACAAATCACAAATGTGTATATATATATATATATATATATATATACATACATACATACATATATACATATATACATATATACATATATATGATAAAACTAAAATTTTGTCGAAAATGCTGAATACATAATGCAATTCTATGAATGAAGCAGAGTTTAAGAAAGTTCAACCTCAACATCAGTCCTGACCACACCCTTGCCTGTTCTGGTTCACACTGCTACAAGAACACACACAAACACACACACACACACACACACACACACACACACACACACACACACACACACACACACACACACACACACACACACACACACACACACACTGTGGCCCTGCAGAGCAGTGGTGCTGGAGGAGGTCGGGGTCCCTGGCTGAGGGGAGCACTCTGTCAGGGAATCAGCCGGACAAAAGGTGCAGTGGAGTGAGAGATTGAGGGAGGAAGCGAAGGCGGGTGGGGGAGCGGGACAAAGCAAAGGCAGTAAAGCCTCCTGCCTGATAGCCTTATCTGATTCCACTCCAGCGCTTGATGGCTTTTTTTTCACCCTGCCTTTAAAGCGCACAGGTTGTGCCTTTGGTGTGAAGCCTAGCAGAAAATGTTAATCAAGAGAGGGACTGTGTGGAGAAAGGCAAGAGAAAGGGGAGAGTCACTCTGCTGAGGCCATAATCTGTAATGAGACCGAGGCGATTCAGTTGCAATTGAGAGACGAAGAATGGGGCCATGATGATGATGAGCAGGGAGGTTCACTCTTTCACTGGCGTTTGTTTTTCTGTTTTGTTCCTTTTCTCTTGCAGAGTCACTGCTCGTGCACCAGTCTGCAGGCTGCAAACAGCCGTGGGTCACAATTCATTTAACACACACTTGGACGTCATTTTCAATGTCTGCAGCTGACAGATGAAAAACACTGCTGACTGCTTGTCTGACAACTATTGTTACTCATCTGTGTATGATTTATATTTCCCTCTGTGACCTCCATGTTTTTATGTTACTGCCTGAAATATCAAAAACTTGCATCAAATGTCCAGTCAGATTCTCAGTCTTGGTAACCTATCTTCTTGATCTGATAGTTCTTTATTTGAATCAAATTTTGCTATTTTAGATACATTTAATATTATTTTTTTGTCTGTGGTAATATTAGTTCATTTAGTGTTCCCCATGCAGCAGGTGTTGAAATAACATGAATGTAAAAAAACATCTAGTGGTAATTTATGCTAATGTTAGCTGGTTTGACTTGTCTGCAAGCATCTACTTTCCAAGTAGATACAAACTTAACAGCACGATGAGTCCTAGGACAGAGGTCTTAAACTACTAATGGTACATAAGCAGCTATATGAGTTACATTTTGTATCAATAAGCTGGGCAAGACTAATAGAAGTTAACAGCATGTCTCCTAGCAATGCTGTTGCATCTCCCAGCTCAGATGCTGTTCCCACAGAAATATCCCAAAATGGTTTTATCTTGTGTTGAAGCACAGGAGCTGCAATAACATTGTAGTTTAGATTTATTTAAAAGTTAAAGTTTCAGTTTGACTGCAAGTCAAATAATTTTGCAAATTTAGGCCGTATTTAATTTTGGTATAATTCTTGTACGGCTGTTTATGTTTAAACATCATTTCACTTGAAGAGTTTTGTAGAAAAACATGTTAATATTCCTGTATTGCAAGTAGAATCGAAAAAGGTTAAATCATGCCCAGCTCGACTGACCAGATTGGTGCTTTAATTTAAAATAATTCAAGATAATCAGTGTCAAAGATAGGATGCAATTTATAGTGCACACACACGCACACACCATACACACACACACACACCCACACACACACACACACGCACACACACACCCACACCCACACACACACACACGCACACACACACAGGGGTCTATTGTGCTTTTAACGAGTTCACTTGTTTGTTGCTCTCTTTCCCGCTTAATCCCAGACTTTTGTTTCTGCTCATCATCTCACTGTAGAAAGTGTCTCATAATTCCTTTAACAAAGATTACATTCAGCAGTGGAGAGGAGGTGACCCCTTTTTAATGGCAGGACAATTTAAGAGTGCAACATGCCCCACATACACAGCCCTAAAATATGTGATTAAGAGCGCGAATTTAGAGCAAATTCACACACACACACACACACACACAGATAAACAGAGTCTAAACCGATCATTAACTGCAGCCAGTCTATGAGAAATGGGTTGATGGGATGCTTTGGGTTTAAATATGTGATGATCCTCTAAATCTACTGCCTCAATGCAATGAGACAAAGCCATAAAATATCAAGTGTGGTGCTGTAAGATAAGGAGGTGAGAGGTCTGAGCGCCAAAGCCGACCTGTAAACCAGGCCAAGCGTATCATTTCACAATAGTATAGAATGAGCTATTGTTGGACATTTTGAACAGGCTCCAAACCAAAGGTAAAGACTGAAATCTTATCTGATCAAAGTGTTACAGGAAAAACACCGACCTGCAGTAGACCAGCAGGAGGTGCAGTAGAAGAGACCTGAGAAGTTTTTCTGATAAAGCAGTCGACAGCCAACATGCATACATGGAGAAATGTGCTTTGAGCTATTGTAGTCTTGCACTTCTCTT